GATGGCAGTGATGGTGACACTGGTGGCAGTGCTGGTGGCAGTGCTGGTGGCACTGGTGGCACTGGTGGAGGCAGTGATGGTGGGACTGGTGGCAATGATATGGTGGCACTGGTGGTGGCAGTGATGGCCGTGGTGGTGGCAGTGATGGTGGTACTGGTGGCAGTGATGGTGGCAGTGATGGTGACACTGGTGGCACTGGTGGCAGTGATATGATGGCACTGGTGGTGACACTGGTGGCACTGGTGACACTGGTGGCAGTGATGGTGACACTGGTGGCACTGGTGGTGACACTGGTGGCACTGGTGGTACTGATATGATGGCAGTGATGGTGGCACTGGTGGCAGTGATGGTGACACTGGTGACACTGGTGACACTGGTGGCACTGGTGGCACTGGTGGTGACACTGGTGGCAGTGGTGGTGGCAGTGGTGGTGGCAGTGATATTGTGGCAGTGGTGGTGACACTGGTGGCAGTGGTGGTGGCACTGGTGGCACTGGTGGCACTGGTGACACTGGTGGCAGTGACAGCGCTGGTGGCACCGGTGGCAGCACGGGGACAGCGCAGGTGGCGCTGGTTTTGGTGGCGGTGTCACTGGTGTCACTGGTGCCACGGGTGGCGGTGGCGGTCCCGGTGGCGGTGGCGGTGGCCGCGTCCCCCCGCTGTCACCGTCACCATGGTGACGCGGCGCTGGCGCTTTTTTTAACGCCGGAGGAAGCGGGGGAGGGGCTGGGGGGGGGAGGGGCGGCGCCACCAGCAGGGTCTGGCCCCCCCCCCCAAAAAAAATCCCCGTCCCCCCCGTGACACCCACGGGGACACCAAAAGGGGACGTGGGGTGGCCTCGGGCACCTGGTTCCCCCCCCGAGGGGACAGGGACAGGGGACAGGGGACAGGGGGCAGGGGACAGGTGGCCCCCAGGTGTCCCCCCCCGGTTATGGGGACAGCAGTGGCACCGGGCATGGGCAGGTGGCACCAGCAGGGGTTGGGGACATGGGGACACAGATGGCACCACCATGGGGGTTGGGGACATGGGTGCCACCCCCATGGGGACATGGGGACAGGTGCCACCATGGGTGTTGGGGACACAGGGATGGGTGCCACCACCAGGAACGGGGACATGGGTGCCACCATGGGGGTTGGGGACATGGGGACATGGGTGCCACCACCAGGAATGGGGACATGGGTGCCACCACCATGGGGACACGGGGACAGGTGCCACCACCAGGAATGGGGACATGGGGACACGGGTGCCACCACCATGGGGTTTGGGGACACGGGTGCCACCACCACGGGGACACAGGGACGGGTGCCACCATGGGCACTGGGGACACGAGGCCCACACTGTCCCCAAGTGCCACCCCCGCTGTCCCCACCATTTATTTAGGGGGGGGGACACACCAAAGGGACAGCGCCTCCCCCCCCCACACACACACACACGGGGGGGGGGGGGGGGGGGGGGGGGGGGGGTTGGGGTTTCCCCAGCAACCGTTGCCGAGCACCCGCGCGCCTCCGGGCGGGTATTATGGGATGGCAGCTGGAAAAAGGGGTGGGGGGGGGGGGACACACACCATGTGGCCCCCTCCCCAAATTTCCCGGTGCCCCCCCCCCCCCCCCCCGGTACCGTGCTCTCCCGGCGGCCTCCCCTCCACCGGCACGCTGACGGTGCGCCGCAGCAGCTTGCTCCGGCACGGCTCGCCCCGGCGGTCCCGGATGAGCAGCGGGTGGATCTACCAAAAGATCCCCCCCCCCCGCCATCAGTTCGGGCCCCCCCGGCCCCAAAATTGTCCAAAATCGCCCAAATCTTGCCCTCCCCCCCCCCCTCCGCTCCCGCTCCCTGCTCGCCTCCTCCTCAGCCGGCAGCAGCTGGTTCATGGGGGTGATGGAAATTTTTTTTTTGGGGGGTGGCACCCCCACGGGTTTTATTGGACACCCTTCCTTCACCCCAAACCCCCAAATCGCCCCGAGTCACCCCCAAAAACGCCCAAAATCGCCCCAAAAGTTGCCCCCCCTTCCCTGCTCGCCTCCTCCTCAGCCAGCACCAGCAGCTGGTTCCTGGGGGTGCTGCAAAATTTGGGGGGGGGGGGGTGAAGAGACACCCCCACGGATTTAATTGCACCCCTGTCCTTCACCCCAAACCCCAAAATCACCCCAAATCACCCCCAAAATCTCCTAAAATCGCCCCAAAAGTTGCCCCCCCCCTCCCTGCTCGCCTCCTCCTCAGCCAGCACCAGCAGCTGGTCCATGGGGGTGATGCAAAATTTGGGGGGGGGAGGGAAGAGAGACACCCCCAGGGGTTTTATTGGACCCCCCTCATTCACCCTAAACCCCAAAATCATCCTGAATCACCCCCAAAATCATCCAAAATCACCCCAAAAGTTGCCCCCCCCCCCCGCTTGCCTCCTCCTCAGCCAGCACCAGCAGCTGGTTCCTGGGGGTGCTGCAAAATTTGGGGGGGGTGGGGGGGGAGAGACACCCCCACGGGTTTTATTGGACCCCCTTCTTTCACCCCAAACCCCAAAATTGCCCCAAATCACCCCCAAAATTGCCTAGAATCGCCCTAAAAGTTGCCCCCCCCCCCTGCTCGCCTCCTCCTCAGCCAGCACCGGCAGCACGATGCAGAACGGGGGGGGGGGGGGGGGGCACCCAAACCGCTCGAACCGTGCCCTTCCTAAAACCCCAAAACGGCCCGAAATCAGCCCAAAACATGCCCCCCCCCCCCCCCAGTTTACCTCCTCCTCGTCCAGCATCAGCAGCTGGTTCCCGGAGATGATGCAGAACCGGGGGTTCCAGGGGGGCCGCTCGTAGGCCGGGGGGGGCGCGTAGGGCCCGCGGGCCAGGGGGGCTCCTCGCACATCTGGGGGGGGGCTGGGGGTCAGTGGGGGGACCCCCCAAAACGCCCCCCCCCCCCAAAAAAATAATATCACCCCCCCACACACAAACACCCCCCAGGCCAGGCCCCGCTCGGCCCCGTTTCCAACTGGGTCAGGCCTGGGCCCGGTGCCCCCCCCCCCCCCCCCGCCCCCCCACGGCCATGTTGCCCCCCCCCAAATTCCCGATACCACTTCCAGGCCCCGGTACGGCGGGGGGGGTCGTGGAGGCCGAGCCCGGGCCTGACTGGTGCCGGTGCCCCCGGTACCAGTGCCTCCCAGTATGGGGATCCCCCGGTACTGGTATCCCCCCAGTACAGGCAACCCCCCCGGTACCAGTATGGCCCAGTATGGGCAGCCCCCAGTACCAGTATCCACCAGTATAAGCATCGCTCAGTACCAGTATCACCCAGTATAAGCATCGCCCAGTACCAGTATCACCCAGTACAAGCATCTACCAGTACCGCTATCTCCCAGTATGGGCATTGCCCAGAACCAGTATCCCCCAGTACGGGCATCTCCCAGTACCAGTATGCCCCAGTATAAGCATCTGCTGGTACTGAGATCCCTCCAGTATGGGCATCACCCGGTACCAGTATCCCCCAGTATGAGCATCCCCCAGTACCAGTACCCCCCAGTATAACCACCTCCTGGTACTGGGATCCCCCCAGCATAAGCAGCCCCCAGTACCAGTATCCCCAGTACAGGCACCACCAGTACTGGGATCAGCCCAATACCAGCAGCCAGCGGTACCAGTAACCCCCCCGGCACCAGTATCCTGCCACCAGTAACCCCACTAGGTACCAGTATCAACCCCCCCCGGTACCAGTACCCCCCCGCAACACCAGTACCCCCCCAGTACCGCTATCCCCTCAATCCCAGTATCTCCCAGTACCCCCTGGCACCAGCATCCCCCTCTTCCAGCATCCCCCATTTCCAGTACCCCCCCCCCAAATTTCCAGTACCCCCCCGGTTACCAACACCCCCCCCTCACTACCGACCCCCCCTTTCCCAATAACCCCCCCACTCTCCCAGTAACCCCCCCCCCTCCATCCCAGTCCCCCCCCAGTACCGGCCTCCCCGCTCCCATCCACACAACCCGCCACCATCCCCCGCTTCCCTCCCCCCCCCCCGGCCACCGACCCCCCCCCCGGGGTCGTCCCCCCCCCCCCCCCCGTACCTCGGAAGGGGACATAGGACATGGCTCCGCCGCCGAGCGCTTCCCCCGGGCGCCGGTAACGGGGAGGGGATGGGGGGGGGGGGGGGGGGCGGGGGGGGGGCTGGCGGAGAAGGGGGGGGGGGCAGGAGGCCGGGGGAGGGACACAGGAGGGGGGGCGGGACCGGCACCGGGGGGGGGGGGGGGGGGACGGGAGGGGGGGGGAGGGGAGGGGGGGGGATGGGGGGGGATTGGGGAGGGGGGGGGGAGTGGGGGGGGAATGGGAGCTGGGATGAGGGGGGTGGGGACTGGGAAGGGTGGGGGGTGGGAGGGGGGGGAATGGGAGGGCTGGGGGGGGACTGGGAACATGGGAGAGGGGGGAGTGGGGGTACTGGGAGGGGGGGGCACTGGGAATGCTGGGAATGGGGGGGGGGGGCTGGGAATGGGGGGGGACTGGGAGCACTGGGAGGGGGGGTAGGGTACTGGGAGGTGGGGTGGGGACTGGGAATGGGGAGGTTACTGGGAATACTGGAGAGGGGGGGGTGGGGGACTGGGGAGGGTTACTGGGAACACTGGGAAGGGGGGTGGGGGGGTACTGGGGGGTACTGGGAGTGGGGGGGGACTGGGAATGGTGGGGATACTGGGAATGGGAGGGAACTGGGAACACTGGGAATGGGGGGGAATGGGGGGCACTGGAATGGGGGGGGGGTACTGGGAACACTGGGAGAGGGGGGTACTAGGGGCACTGGGAAAACTGGGAAGAGGGGGTACTGGGGGTAATGGGAATGGGGGGGAGATGGGAATGGTGGGGGGTATGGGTGGGAGGGGTACTGGGAACATGGGGGGAGGCAGGAGTACTGGGAATGGGGGGGCACTGGGAACACTGGGAATGGGGGGGACTGGGAAGGGGGGGGGTGGAAGGGGAATGGGGGGGTACTGGGAATGGGGGGGACTGG